GACTCCATACCCCAGTGGATACGCTGCAGAGAGAGCTTCATGGCCCCCAAAGGCCCAGCAACAGTACGCCACGAGAGGTCCTTATCGTCAGGACCCCTGATGAAGATGGTCTCCCAGGCTTCGCGCAGAAACCTGCAATCAAGGGGGGACTTGAAAATCCTAACCTGGTTGGCCCAGGCCTCCTTGCTGTAGCGGATGACAGGAGCGACAGCGTAGGTAGCAGTAGGGTCCCTCTCAAGGATGAGCAGGGACGTGAGGGACCTCATGCCAGCGGAAGGTTTGAGGACCCGACCGAGCCCCTGGCGGAACCCCTGGAGCTCGAAGTCGGAAACTCCGTGAACCTCCGAACCGTACGTGACGCCCGCCAGGGGCCCCGACGTGAAAACTTTCCTGCAATACCTCTGCCCCAGGATGCCTCTCAACCTCTTGAGTCGGGCGACCCTCTGCTTGAAAGCTTTGCACCTAACAGGAAATTTGCGGCCGCGCCCAGCTTGCCGTCGGGGCCGACCAGCAGTGTCATCAACTCCTAGATTCACAGCAGAAGAAATACATGAGGGTCCACCCACATGCTCCAAAAGTGACCTGATCTTGTTGCCGAGAGCCTGGTCGGAGCAGATCACAGACGCCTGATCTTCAGAAACCACCACCTGCATATCGTCCGACAGATCCGAATACAATTGAGTGGCCCCCGTGACAATGTCATCGACGACTGATCTGGCCGAACCCGTAGCCTGCAAGCCGTAATCGTCTATATATATATATATATATATATATATCGAGGGCATCGCGGACTTTCTGCGGCAGCAGGTCGATCGTGGGAATGGCAAAGACCCTCACGAAGGTAGTGGCAAAGGAATCTCCCGCAATGACTCCTTGCCAAGCGAAAAAAAAAAGCCCTTTAACGATCCCACTGATGTTGATGAACCTTGGGCCTCTATAGGCCGCCATGCAGAGTCGTGAAATAGGAGAAGGGAAACCTAGGTCATCACACCTCTGCTGAAGAATGTCGAGCCTAATAGATTCGTAAAACTTGTGGAGGTCCCACAACACAGAGCACGCAACACCCTTCTTATCCTTCCTGCTCGTCGCATGTTCCGAACGCACAGCTTGCCTCCATACAACATCCCCAGCCCCAGTGAAAGCTCCTGCGCTGAGGTACGATTTATTGAACCTGGCCTCCCATTGGACAGCGCACGGTCTCCTCATCCCCCCCCCATAACCGATATGCCGAGCTAAACAATCCGATGGGCCTCCACCCACCAGCAGGCTTGGGCAAAAGCGCGACCATGATGGCTCGCAGGTGGTTGGGCAAAAGGGAGGATGCTTCCATGATGCTGATAATACTCGTTAACGCCACCAGCGCGTCATCACAGAGTGAGGCATAGTGACGCATATGGAAGCCGTCGACACTGGTGGCCGTGCGAGTGGGGTACGACATGGCAACTTCTCTCAGCAAGTCGGGCGACTCGAAGGGGAGCGGATCCTGATTCTCGATGGGCTCTTGCTTGGGGGGCTCCACTGTGGCCTTCCATAACCCACAGAAACGAGCACCCTCCGAATGAAGAAGAGCTTGGGGATCAGATAAGACCACACCCTGAGCCGACAGGGTAGAACATGGGGACCACGGGGCGACTTCTTTGGTCCACCAATGGGCTCTACGGGCACCTTTTGAAACACCTTCCAGGATCCAGGACTTCCAAGACTTGTTCGCCACCTCGCGCTGCTTGATGGAAAAATCACCCAGGAACTCCGAAACCTCGTCCAGGATACTAGCACCATCAATAATCAAACCTTCTAAAACTTCAGTCTCACCAGGAACATCACGAGGGATACAACCTGTGGAACCGTCACCCTTGGTCGAGTTGAACAGGTTGCTTTTCCCACGGCAAGAGGGAGGGTTCAATCTCATACATCGTTGAACAAACTGCTGCACCTTCTCCCAGCTGCCCTGGCAGACCCCCATGCTGTCGACTATGATGTCGGGGGGGCGGAGGAGGAAGTTGCCAGAGTCGAGGGCCGAGCCCTTCACGTCACAGCCGAGGTTCGAGCAGAAAATGCGCAGGGTGCTCTCCAAACAACGAACTCCGTACAAATCAGGCTGCCGTGAAGTGCGCCTATCTTTATCCAAAACAGAGCGCCATGCAAGCTTGGGCAACCTGCCACGGGTGCCTAAAACAGGAAGAGAACACTGACGATTGGCGGCCAACTCTCTCTCCGCCGTGTTAGCCCAAAGCTTATATAACAAACCCCAAAGCCTGCAAACTGGCCAGCTGAGGGAAGAAGCTCAACTGCACGGGCTTGTGCGGCTTGGTGGCCGCCTCCAAGCAGACACGGGTGGCCTTCACGGCCTGCGAGAGCCCGCTGGAAACCAGGAAATAGTCGAGCATGCGGACTCCTTCCTTGCTCGTGCCCGTGCAGGTGCCCTTGGATTCAGGCACGACCAGGTTGGCACTGAGCACCGAGACCAAATCGCATGAAGCCAGAACATCAGGCTCCATCTGGAAGTCCGCACCCAAGATGAACGGACCTGGAAAAGATGATAATTCAGCACCGAGCTTGCACAAGATACCCAGATTGGACTCGGAGAGGCCCTCGGAGTCCCTGAGATACGCGGAGACCACAAGTATAGAGACTCCGCCTGGGATCTGAACAATAGCTGAAGCAGCACGATGAGGAACCAGAGTGGGGCCCACCTTAGGCGAGACGTCATGACAGCCCAAGAAGTCCCTGACGAAGATGCCCACTCCACCTGAGGTCCCGAGCCCTATACCTGGGGCCGCTGGGACGAGCCTGGACTTCCAGCCTGAGCGGAGGCCCCATTGGGAGGCCTCGCCAACCAGATCACCCAGAAGATGATGTTCTTGAATAAGCACCACATGAGCCGTCGTACGATAGGAAGGCACCAACTATACACCAACACCGATCCCGGCCAGGATCAACCTGGGCCCAGGATCGGTGTATACGCCCTCCTGCCATGGGCAGAATGCATATACACCGATCCTGGGCCCAGGATCGGCCTGGGCTGGATCGGTGTAGGTGTATAGTTGGTGGCCTCCGAGTATAAAGCCTACGGCGCTCCAGGGCGATGCCCGCCCTGGCGAGCACCTCGTCTCTATGACGGGAATGGAGTGACCGAAACTATGCCCGAAAATGTGCCCGACTGTACCTGAGACCGGCGCCCAATTTTCCCGAACGCGCCAAAGTGTGGCCGAAATTGCCACTTCGAAACCCAAGCTATTTTCAATGTCGGCCACCATTTCGGTCCTACGACGCTTTCGGTCAGAAAAACTCGGGCACGCTTTCGGTCACGCTTTCTCGGTCACATACCTTTGCGGCTGATTGGGCTGGGCGCCATGAAAACTCTTGAGACCTCCCCTGCAAAGGCGGCGCCACGGGAGGGCCAGAAGCCACGGAGTCGCTCGTGAGGCGACGGCCACAGGGCCACGAACTACGCAGGCGCCAGCCGACAGTCGAGGCCGACAACCACACGTACACGCGAGGGCCTGCAGCCACGCGCCAGCAGATCGACTCTGGAGCCGCACTGCTGCCGCGCGGCCATGGTGCCATAGGCCCTCCTTCTCCTCACCCTCATCCACCCTCCTCGTCCACTACTCCTTCCCCTCCGGCCCCTCCCCCCCTCCCTGTCCTGTTCTGCGCCTGTACTGCCCTGGGCCTGTCCTCCTCCCTCCTGGCCCTCTGGCCCTCAGACATCCGATGTCCCCATGTCCCCCTATACGGGGTCACCGGAAATCCTGACCGTTTCCCCAGGGCTGGTTTTTCGTCCCGAGCCGTTCTTTGACGTCCCCAGGACCCGGCGAAAACTGCCCCCGGAGGCCTAGAACGGTCAATTAAAACGTCTGTCGTGGTGTTGTTCACGACGCGAGCACGGCCAAAAACCGTCCGTCGTGGTGAGCCTCACGACGCGAGCATGTCTGGGTCCTGAGCCTGTTCTGTCACTTCACGTCCGCCGACCTGATTGTTTCAATGCGCGGCCCTACAGGGCCCAACCCTTTTCAGCAAAGCCAGTTGTTCGCTCCGGTGCCATTTCTGATGGCCCCACGGCCCTATAACAACTCCCAGAAGCCGAACCCAACGAAGAACGCACAGATTGAAAATAACAGATCTTAGGAGGCAACTACTGGGAGGTCTTCGTCGGAAGGATGAAGGAGGACTAAGCCCCATTGGGGGGCAGCCTCGCCGGACTAGACAGCAGATTGAGCGGCATTGAGCAGGACTAAGCGGGACCAAGCTGGATCAAGCGGGATCCAGCCGGAGTAAGCCAGCTGTCGGACCAGGGCACAGTCAGACTTGTGCCCTTCAAGGAGTTGCATCCCCACAAGTCGTCGGAGCTCTGGACCCTGAGCCTGCTCGAGCCCGGAGCCCGTCCTCCCCCCTCCCAGGAGAGCCCAGCACCGACCCGAGAAGCCGCATCGGCGATCGGAACGAGCCGGACCGGCGGAAATCGGCAGCCGAGCCGGGAGAGGTCGAAGCGGCGGAGATCGGCAGGCCGGCGGGCCTCCTCTGAGACCTCGGAAGCAAGATCGGCACCCCGAGGTCGAATCGAGCTGGACTCGGTTCGACTTCGAGCCGCGTCGGAGGAGTCGAGGAGTCGACTTCGAGCCGCGTCGGAGGAGTCGATTGCGAGCCGCGCTGGAGGAGTCGAAAGGAGCCCTGCCCTCCTGGGCTCCTGGGCCCTGAGCCCGCGCCTGCCCGGGAGCGCGCGCGCAAGGCGGGGGAGGAGGAGGAGGAGGAGGAGGAGGAGGAGGAGGAGGAGGAGGAGGAGGAGGAGGAGGAGGAGGAGGAGGAGGAGGAGGAGGAGGAGGAGGGGAGGAGGAGGAAGAGGAGGAGGAGGAGGAAGAGGAGGAAGAGGAAGAGGAGGAAGAGGAGGAGGAGGAGGAGGAGGAGGAGGACGCACGCCTCGGACCACGATCTGCCCCCCTTCCCCACTGGTGGGCGAAGACGCGGCGGCCCCTTCTGGGGGAAGGGGCTCTCCCGGAGGCCTCGCTTGTCGCCCCGTCGCTGTCGAGCGTGAAGAGCCGCCCGTGGCGCGCCTCCGGTCGAGGAGTGGTTCGAGGAGGCATGCGCGGCGGGGGCACGGGCGTGTGCATAGTCGGAGGATGCTGGGTCTGTACGGAGTGGGTCCGCACGGAGTGCTCGGCCTCCGTCTGGGCTGATTCCGTCCGGGCGTGGCCCCTCTTGGACGGATGCTGAGCCCGCGCGGAGGGAACCCGCACGGAGTGCTCGGCCTCCATGGGGGCTGACCACGTCTGGACTTAGCTCGGCGACTAGCGAAGGGTGCGGTTTGTCTCCCGTCATATCTGCCCCTCCCGCCCCCGGGAAGCGGATGACACTGTCACTCAATGCCACCGAATCACATGACACTGTCGCTCCTTCTAGCACAGTGGAGCACGCATCGAAGATGAGAGTGTCGCTCGAAACGACGACAGATTTGACATTGTCTCTCACAAAGGCCCCGGAAAGGCCGCCACAAAGCAACTCGCAAACCGCACCCTGGCGTAACCGCACCGATTGCAGTCGCCGATCAGCCTCTTTTAGCAGGGTGCTGAGTCCGTGCGGAGTGAGTCCGCACGGAGTGCCCGGCCTCTCCGTCTGGGCTCACTCCGTCTGGGCCTGGCCTCCCTTCACAGGAGGCCAAGTCCGCACGGAGTGCTCGGCCTCCGTCTGAGCTTACTCCGTATCGACTGCGCCTCTCCTGGGCAGGTGTAGATAGCCATATCCTCCGCCCGGGGACCCCTCTGCAGAAAGGCCTCCGAACTAGGGTCCGAGCAAAAGGGGGTCGGAGGATCGCGCTGCATCGCCGACGCATCGCCGATGCATCGGCGATGCATCTCTGACGTCGGCGATGCGTTGGCGATGCATCGGCGACGTCGGAGTGGAGAACATCGGGCTCCACATCGAGCCGCATCGCCGATGCATCGCCCATGCGGCCCGATCCTCCGACACCATTTAGTCGGACCCCATTTAGGAGGCCGAGGTCTCGACCGACGCCACGGCACAGAGGGGGAGGTGGAGAAGGAGGAGGAAGAGAAGGAGAAGGAGGAGAAGGGGGGTGAGGGATGAGGGATGAGGAGGAGGGGGGGAGGAGAAGGCGGAAAAGGGGAAAGGGGAAGAGGAGGAGGAGGAAGGATAGGAGGAGGAGGAGGAGGAGGAGGAGGAGGAAGAGGACGAGAAGGAGGAGGAAGAGAAGGAGGAGAAGGAGGAGGAGGAGGACGAGGAGGGGAGGGGTAGTAGGAGGAGGAGGGGGTGGAGGAGGAGGAGGACAAGGAGGAGGAGGAGGAGGGGAGGAGGAGGAGGAGGAGGAGGAGTAGAAGGGGGAGGAGGCAGAAGAGGAGGAGGAGAGTAGGAGGAGGAGAGTAGGGGGGGACGAGGAGGAGGAGGAGGAGGAGAGGAGGAGGGGAAGGAGGAGGAGGAGGAGAGGAGGAGGAGGAGGAGAGGAGGAGGAGGAGGAGGAGGAGGAGGGGAGGAGGGAGGAGGAGGAGGAGGAGGCGAGAGGAGGGAGGAGGAGGAGGAGGGGGAGGAAAAGGAGGCATGATGAGGAGGAGGAAGAGGAGGAGGAGGAGAAGGAGGAAAAGGGGGAGAAGGGGGAGGAGGCATCAGGAGGAGGGGGGAGGAGGAGGCGGAGGGGGAGGGGAAGAGGAGGAGGAGGAGGAGGAGGATGAAAAGGGAGAGGAGGAGGAGGAGGAGGAGGAGGAGGAGGAGGACAAGTGTAAACCCAAGAGCCATCAACGATGTTGGAATTATCCCTCCCTCCAAGCTCCCTCTTCACAGGTCCCTACAACGGTTCCTCTCCATTGAGGGAACTGTCTCGTTGGAAGAAAACTGTTTGAAGATCCAGAAGCATGCCAAAACATTGTTCTCGGGATTTCAACGCCACGGATCAACCTGACCGCTGCGTCTTGACAGTCCGAACTCGTGCCAGAACGCCATTCTTGGGACTTCAACACAGCGAATCAATATAATTAACTGTTGAACCCGCATAATTCTGAATCCTTCCACAACACCATTTCTGGTACGTTGATATAGGAATCCGTGGAACCCTTGCTAATAGTTTTTAAAATATTTTTATATATATATATATATAAAACACAAAAAAACGAATGTCCGCGGCGCTAAGGCAAGAACCACATGTTGACAAGGAACCGCCCTCAATCCGTGAAGCCCTTGCAAATGTTCAAAAGGAATGTGCGCGGCGCTAAGGCGAGAGCCACAGTTTGAAAACGGCCCGCCCTCAATTCGTGAAACTCTTGCAAACATGTTAAGCGAATGTACGCGGCGCTAAGGCGAGAGACACATTTGAAAACGACCCACCCTCAATCCGTGAAACTCTTGCAAGTGTGTAAAACGAATGTGCGCGGCGTGTTGGCGAAAACCACAGTTTGAAAACCACCTGACCTCAATCCGTGAAACTCTTGCACATGTTTAAAACGAATGAACGCGGCGTGATGGCAAGAGCCACATGTTGAAAACAACCCGCCCTCCATATGCGAAACTGCTGTCACTTTGTAAGCTGCAGAGTCATACATGGTGAGGAAGTCTCAGGCGAAACGCCCGGCTGAGGGGGAGGAGTAGGAGGAGGAGGGAGGAGGAGGAGGACGAGGAGGAGGAGGAGGAGGAGGAGGAGGAGAGGGTGGAGGAGAAGGAACAGGAGCAGGAGGAGGAGGAGGACGAGAAGGGGGGTAAGGGGTGAGGGATGATGAGGATGATGAGGAGGAGAAGGACGAGAAGGAGGAGGAGGAGGAGAAGGAGGAGGAAGAGTGGGAGGACGAGGAGGAGGAGGAGGGGGAGGAGGAGGAGGAGGAGGAAGAGCAGGACGAGGAGGAGTCGGCGGCGGAGGAGGAGGAGGCGGTGGACGGGGAGGGACAGGGGCACGGAGGCAGAAGGAGCCCCCTCCATCTCCACCCTCTCATCATTTCTCCTCCTTCTCCTCATCAGAGTCCTCCCCCCATGGGCAGAAGGCTAGGGCAGGGAAAGAGGAGGGGGACGGGAGGGGAAGAGAGGGGAGGCCAGGAGGCCCTAGTTGAAAGAGAGGCATGCTCGCGACGCTCCCACGATCTCGGGCGCGAGATTATTCGTCCATCCTCCCTTTCCGCCCTCACTCTTTCCCATCCTCCCTCCCGCCGCACTCCTCCCCCTGTGCGCGACATGGAACTACCCGTCGGTCCTCCTCCCCTCCTGATCCTCCTCCTCCTCCTCCTCCTCCTCCTCCTCCTCCTCCTCCTCCTCCTCCTCCGCCTCCTTGCCCGATCACTCGATCGCCCGATCGCTCTCTCGGTATCTGTAACATTGGCCCCTTGCCAAAAAAGACTGGGAGGTACGAACAAGGAAATTCGAGCTTAAGCGCATGCACCGCCTGGTGCAACTGCTGCCTGCTGATGCTGATCCTGATCCTGGCAATTTTACATGTGCCAGTGCTGGCCCTGGTGCTCATACTGACGCAGACGCTCATGGTCATGACCACGCTCACTGCAGGATGCTGACGATTACGCTGGTACTGACGTACTGACGCGGCTGCGGCTGCGGCTGCTCCTCCGCAGCAGCAGCAGCAGCAGCAGGAGCAGCATCCGCTCCCCTCCACCACAGCCGCCACGGCCATCCCGCCACTGCAGCCGAGGCAACGCAGGAAGGTCGCCGCGGCGGCCGCCGCGGTGGCCGCGTGGGCAGAGCGGGCGAGCATAGAGAGCAGAAAACCCACCCTCATAATAAGCACCCCGACGAGCGAACCGTCAGTAAACCCACCCAAAGGAGCAATCGAACAGGACAGTGCTGCTTCGAAGACGCCCAGGGCCGCTCAGCAAGCGCCAATTATGGGTCGGGGTGGTTTTCCTCCAATAATTGCAGGCGGCGGTGGCAGCAGCGGCGGCCGCCGCGCCGCGCTGTGCGCCGCCCCCTGCGTCGAGGTGGCGACCCGCGCGGCCACGCGGCGGGGGGCCTCGCCAGGCAGCAGGTCGCGATCGAGGGGGGGAGGCGGCGGGCAGTGTTGTAAGACGAGGCCAAGACGAGGACAATTCCGGGTGAGGAAGAACGGATTGATGATCCGTGAGGTTTGGATCGGGGTCGACCCCCCTTCTACCCCCCATTCTGCCCCTAGGATGCAAGCCGATGCGCTCGCGGCCACCCTGGGCAACGCGACGCAGGATGGGCCGATCGAGGGCACTGCGGCCAAGCGAAGCGGTTCAAGAACGCCAGCGAGCGACCCGCTCCGGAGGATGTCTCGGGCGCGCCGCGGACTTTTCAAGAGCGGCCCGGAAAGCTCCGAGGACGTTCTGGAACGCCCCCGAACGGACTGCTCCTCGTCCGAGCCGCGCCCGATCGAGGGGGGGAGCAGCGGGCAGGGCGGTCCTCAGAGGGTGTCAGAGAGAAACACGCTTGGGGTGGGGCGTTACTTCTCGGTTTTCAAGATCGGCGCTTTGCTCTTCCGTTTGGAGGTGATTGTTCTTCCGATTGGGGAGTCTCGTTCGCATCGTTTCTGGTGCAATCCGGTCTTGCACTGCCCTTCCGCCTCCGTTTCGGGCTGCTGTTCGTCTCCCCGCTTCGGTCGGCCGAAGATCGAAAACTTGAAAGGTCAGCACAAACAAACAAACAAACAAACAAACAAACAAACAAACAGACAACGTGCTTAGCATCAGCCAAGGGGTGCCGCGGAAACGCACGGCGCTCGCGCGCAAGGCTGCTGTCGATCGCGCTGGATCCTGCCACGAGTACAGGAGGGCTGCGCCCACCAAAGGACTTGACCTCTGTGCGCCTCCCACACGGGGTCGCCTCATCAAGCAGCGATGACCATGGCTCAGGTGCTCAGGAGCGGCCCAAAGTCAAGAAAGCAAACTACACAGTAAGACCCCCTTCAGAGTCAGAGGACCCCTTGCCCTCGCCTCCTTCCGGGGGTCTCCTCGCGGCCTCGCCGCTGGCCGTCCCTCCGCGAGAGGACGACGCAGAGGACGAGGAAGCCAACCCGTGTGAGAAAGAGGGAGTGCGGGAGAGAGAGGGTGTGCAGGAGAGAGAGAGAGAGAGAGAGGGGTAGTGTGAGAGCGAGGGACAGCGAGATAGCGAGAGAGAGAGAGAGAGACCACCGAAAGGCTGGGCCCCTTCGGGCCAGCGTGGGTGGGCTGGGGCTCTGCTGAGATTGCCTTTTGAAGCACCTGTCCTCTCACACAGCGTGATGGGGGTCCTCACTAGCCCTGGAAACCCTGACCCCGGCTGCCGCCAGGGACGAGGAGGCGGCGGGGGGAAGGCGACGACGACGACGACGACGACGACGACGACGACGACGACGACGACGACGACGACGACGACGACGGACGACGGACGACGGACGACGAGGACGACGAGGACGACCGACGACGACCGACGACGACCGACGACCGACGACCGACGACCGACGACCGACGACCGACGACCGACGACCGACGACCGACGACCGACGACCGACGACCGACGAGCGACGACCGACGACGACGACGACGACGACGACGACGACGACGACGACGACGACGACGACGACGACGACGACGACGACGACGGACGACGGACGACGGACGACGAGGACGACGACGAGACGACCGACGACGACCGACGACGACCGACGACGACGACGACCGACGACCGACGACCGACGACCGACGACCGACGACCGACGAGACGACCGACGACGACGAACGACGACGACGAACGACGACCGACGAGCATGAGCGCCTCCCTCCTCACTTGTCCACCCCCCTCATCCCGCCCTCCCTCCTCCCCCTCCCTCCCCCCTCCCGCCCTCCCTCTCCCTCCCTCGCGACCTCCCTCCCTCCCCCCTCCCCACCCTCCTCCCCACTCCATCCCCCCTCCCGCCCTCCTCCCTCCCTCTCCCTCCCTCTCTCCCTCCCTCCTCCCCGACCTCCGTCGTCCCCCTCACGGCCGCACCCTGGACCTGCCCTGGCGCGCGCCCGGACCAGGACGTCGGGGCGGGCCTGCCCGCGGCGACGACGGCCCCCCCGAAGGCCCAGACGAGCACACGAGGCGGAGGAGGACTCGGCCGCAGGCGGCCGCTCGGGACGAGCCCTGCGCCCCCCCGAAGGGGGGGGGCCCTCGACGAGACGTGGCCGCAGGACCAGGGCCCGCCGAGGCTGCCAGGGCCAGCCTGGGCCCTCCTGGCCGATGCCAGGAGGGCGTAGGCACCACAGCGGGGCCCAGGACGGGCCTGGCCAGGCACGGTGGGGGTGCACGGATGCCGTCTGCGGGGACAACGCCCCACAGTGGCCGCAGGCCCTCGAACACCGAGGAGGTTCCTCCCGTCTGCCGACCCCCCCCCCCTGTGCGGCGCTCGCAGAGGCATGCTCCCGTTGCCCCCCTTGGCGGCGCTCACGGTGGGGGTGGCAGCGAGGGGGGGGGGGGGCCTTCCGAGAGGACGGGGTGCTCCTCGTATGCATAGAGGTGGGCGTGGCCTTCGCCGACGGGCCGGGAGGCTTCCCCGAAGGCCCCGCAGAAGCCCGGAGGGATCTCGGGAAGCCCCTCCGCCTGCCGAGAAGCCCCCCCCCGCTCTCTCGGGAGGCCGCCCCCCGCCGCGCGCCAGTCCATCGTGCGCGGAGCCGGCGGCGCACCGCCGACGGATCGGCGATGGCCCCCCGGCAGCGACTCCGGAGGCGGAGGCGGAGGCGGAGGCGGAGGCGGAGGCGGAGGCGGAGGCGGAGGCGGAGGCGGAGGCGGAGGCGGAGGAGGAGGAGGAGGAGGAGGCGGAGGAGGAGGAGGAGGCGGAGGCGGAGGAGGAGGAGGAGGAGGAGGAGGAGGAGGAGGAGGAGGGCGGGGTGGGCCACCAGGCCACCACATCGGCGATGCATGGGCGATCTGGGGCCAATGCGTTCCCCCGAAGCCAAGCTGACTACCTACCAGACCACCCCAGCCCAACCCGAGGACCCGAATTTCGGTTGGGGGGGTGGTATGGGCTCCATGTGTGTTTTTGTCGACGTTCCCCGACACCCCCCCCCACTGGAAATTGAAGGCGAATTGAAGCCTTCGGGTTGGGTTGGGGTGGTTTGATGGGTGGTGACAGTCCCCCCCCCCCCCAGCGTTGCCCCCCCTGGCTCTCGGGCCACTGCTCGGCGCTCCGGCCGAGCCACGAGCTGGGCCCCCCCGCAACGCTCTCTCGGCGAGGCGCAGCTGCTCGAGGGCATCCCGAGGCTGGAACGCCGCTGAGACGGGGCGATGCACTCCCCGCTGCCCCACTGAGCCCATCTCCCCCTAACGTTGTGGATGCCATGACAATGGACACTCTAGCAATCCTATCATTGGATGAAGTTCTAAGAATGATTCAAACATATTCTACAAATGCTCTAAAAATGCTTCAAACATGTTCTAAAAATGCTCAAACATGTTTTCTACATACTAAAAACATGTTTGAAACATATTTTTAGACATCTGGGAAATATGTGGCAGCACGCTCCCTCTCCATTGGTCGACTTCCACAACCCTAACGCCCCTCAGACCGGGCATGGCGAAGAAGTGGCAACGTCGCGAAAAAATCACGACCGGAGCCCTGGACCCCATCTCTCTACGACACTTTTCGAGCCGCCTCCGACCCGCGATGGTTCCGGGGGCCCGGTGCTGGGCGGGAACGCTCGGTGCGACAAAAAATGGCGGCGCCCAGCTCTGAGGGCTACAGAATTGCCTTACACCCTGCGAAATGCTTAAGAAATCATGGAATAAGAAATTCATAGTCTCAGAACTTGAATAAAAACCCAACATTTCTATCAACATCGTGGGATTTACATTGAAAACGTAAGAATAATCGAGACTCTGGACGAAAACTTAGGTTTTCTTAAGCATCGCCTAGGGTGTACCCCAAGATTCGACTTCCCGTGGAATCCAAAACCAAAACCGCAGAATGTTCGCAGATCTAGTAACTCTGCACGCCTTGTCCGTAGTTTCGACGAACATCTCAATTTGGGGGTAAATCCACAATGTAGTCGCCCTTCTACTCGAAGGGTTGCCCCTGCCTCCCCGCTCCACCACACCCCGGAATCGGGGACACATCGCCGCTGGATCGGAGAGAGGCCCCCCGATAGCAAACCCCCACGTTCTTGGGCAGGGTGGGGCTGTCGGGCCCCTGGCGGCAATCAGTGGGCGATTGGGGCTCGAGTCATCCCCCCCCCTCGTCGTTGCCCCTGAACCCCGTTCCCCCGCTTTCGGCGGCAACTCATGGGAGCCTTGCAGACCATCTCGTCGGCTCTTGCGAATCGACGCTAATCGAAGCTAAATCGACGCCAGATCGAGGCCAGCCGACGCCGACCGACGCTGAGTCGGTGCTGCCTCGTCGACTCCCAGACGCTAATCGACGCGAATCGGCGCTAAAGACGAAATTCAAAGCGTCTACCAGGCTCCCACAGTTCGGCGGTGGACAAACCTCCCTTTAGCAAACCTCCCCTCAGTGAAAACGGCCTGGGACCGAAACCGACGGACCTGGACCCGCAAAAAGGACGGCCGTGACGCCCTCTCGCGAGCCGAAAGAGGCCAATTCATTCATCGACGTGTCAAGGTAGGAGGTCTGTCAACCTCCGAACAGTTTACCACCTGACTACCTACCAGACCACCCTAACCCAACCCGAAGACCCGAATTTCGGGGTGGGGGGGGTACGGGCTCCACATGTGTTTTCTCGATGTTCCCCGACCCCCCCCCCCTGGAAATGGAGGGCAAATCGAGGCCTTCGGGTTGGGTTGGGGTGGTTTGGTGGGTGGTGATGTGTGTGTGTTGATTACCAAGTACTCAGCAATTCCTGCTGCTGGGCCCGCCCTATCCGCCCTGGCGCTCTCGCTCCCGGCTCCGGGTTCCCCGGCTCCCTGCTCCAGGCTCCGGGCCGATTTTTTTGGAGGGCGGCGAGGCGCCTGCAGCCCTGGGCTCCTGGGTTCCTGGGTACACCTGGGTTCCACATCGATCGGTCTCACCATCGATCTCACAATCGATCTCAGTATCATAGGGCGCCGAAATCTATACATATCCACTGCTCCCTGGCCAGGCCCATCCTCAACCCCGCAGCGGTGTATACGCCACGCCCTCCTGGCTTGTCCAGGAGGGCGCGTGCATAGCTCCTGGGTTCAAGATGGGCATGGTCAGGGAGCAGTGGATATGTATAGATTTCGTCGCCCGATATCAAGATCACAAGCGAACCCGCACCCCCCGCGCGCCGCGCTCAAGCTGCTGGGCAGCAGCGGCGCCGCCGCGCGGTCCGCCTCCGGCGACGCCATCGCCGGCGCGCGTTGCCCGCCGTGCCTCGGCCGGCGGGCGGCGGCGGGGGGAGGTGCGGGGGAGGATCGGGTCGGCTCGGCAGGGAGAGGGCGTCGAGGACCGCAGGGGCGCGGAGGAGGAGGAGGAGGAGGAGGAGGAGGAGGAGGTAGACGAGGAGGAGGAGGAGGAGGAGGAGGAGGAGGAGGAGTAGGTAGAGGAGGAGAAGGAGGAGAGGAGGAGGAGGAGGAGGTGGACGAGGAGGAGGAGGAGGAGGAGGAGAGGAGGAGGTAGACGAGGAGGAGGAGGAGGAGGAGGAGGAGGTAGAGGAGAGGAGGAGGAGGAGGAGGAGGAGGAGGAGGAGGAGGAGGAGGAGGAGGAGGAGGGTGGTGGGGGGCGTCGAGAACTGCACGAGAGGGAGCGTCGAGAACCGCAGGGGCGCTGATGACTACAACCCGAAGTCCCAACTTGCGGATCCGAGGGGAAAGAGCAAAAAAAAAACGATCCTGGACAGGCCCGAGCCTGGACAGACTGGCCGCCGTCCTTCGAGCAGGAGATCGAGCACTCTACGCATCGCCTGCTGAGATCGACGGGTACAGTGGGGGCTCGGCCACAAGAAACCTCCGCAAGAAACCCAACCCTGAAATCCGCGATTTGTTCAGTTAAAACCCAAATTTGTCGATCGAAAATCGTCAAGGTCTTGTTGGGGGCCCATCGAAATCCAAGAAACCCAGGGCACCCTGGCAAAATCCAACTGGTTTCTTGGCACGCGCCCCCACTGTAAAAAACAGTCCTGGGGCAAGTCGCCTCTGCAGTCGATGTCCTGCGCGAGCCCCGGCCCCGCCCGCGGCGCCCCGAGGCCCGCCTCCTCCAAGAGGCCCCAGAAGAGCCGCCCACGAGATTCCAACGCGCACTCCTCCTCCTCCTCCTCCTCCTCCTCCTCCTCCTCCTCCTCCTCCTCCTCCTCCTCCTCCCTCCTCCTCCTCCCTCCTCCTCCTCCTCCTCCTCCTCCTCCTCCTCCCCTCCTCCTCCTCCTCCTCCTCCTCATCCTCCTCCTCCTCCTCCTCTCTCTCTCCTCCTCCTCCTCCTCCTCCTCCTCCTCCTCTCCTCCCTCCTCCTCCTCTCCTCCTCATCCTCCTCCTCCTCCTCCCTCCCTCCTCCTCCTCCTCCTCCTCCTCCCTCTCCTCCTCCTCCTCTCTCCTCCTCCTCCTCCTCCATCCTCTTCCTCCTCCTCCTCCTCCTCCTTCTCCTCCTCCCCTCCTTCCCCCTCTCCCCTCCTTCTCCTCTTCCTCCTCCTTCTCCTCCTCCTCTTCCTCCTCCTCCTCCAGTCAGCCTCACACCCGCAGCCCAGGCACGGTGGCGGGATGGGCCGAGGGCCATCACATCCGCCGCCCCCTGTCGATTCATCGCAGGGGTGCCTGGCGTGCGAGAACCCTTTCGGTTCTGGTTCTGGCTCCTTTTCCAGAAGAACTCCCCCTGGGGCTCCGGCGCGGCCCGCGGGCCACCCGAAAGGATTGCCCAGGATCTTCCAGAGGTGGTTGCCCAGATGGCTCCAAGATGGCCCAAGATGGCCTCCAAGATGCTTCCAAGACGGCCAAGATGGCCTCCAAGACGGGTAAGATGGCCCCAAGATGCCTCCAAGACGGCCCAAGATGTACCCAAGATGGCGAAAGATAGCCTCACGATGGCCCAAGACGACCCAAGAGGCCTCAATACGGCCCAAGAGGCCTCCAAGAGGTGCTCCAGGAAGGCCCGAAGAGGCCAAAATTATAGACTTTCCTTAGATTATTGTTAAGATTGTGGTATTTGCCCCTTTTCGGCTTTCCGACGGCTTAAGACGGCCCAAGAGGCCTCCAAGATCGACTCAAGATCGCCCAAGAGGCCTCCCAGATGGCCCCAGAACGTCCCAAGAGACCCCCAAGACGGCCCCAAGAGGGCCCCAATACGGGCGAAGAGTCCTCCAAGACGCCCAAGATGGCCTCTCAGACGGCCCCGAAGCGCCCCAAGAGGGCCCCAAGTCGGCCCAGAGAGGCCCCCAAGACGGCTCCCGACGGCGTCAGACGTGCCAGGAACCCACCAAGATAGCCGAAGTTGGCTCGAAGCTGGCCCAAGACGGCCCAAGAGGCCTCCAAGAGGGCCTCCAGGAAGGCCAGAAAAGACAAAAAAACATGTATTTTCCTTGAGTTGTTGAAGGATTTTGACAGTTGCGTCGTTTCGGCCTTCCGACGGCCCGAGACGGCCCCAGAGCCCCCAAAGATCGCCCAAAGATCGCCCAAGAGACCTCCAAGATGGCCCCAAAACTGCCCCAGAGGCCCCCAAGACGGCACAGGAAGCCTTTAAGACGCCCAAGATGGCCTCCAGGACGGCCCTGAAGCATTCCAAGAGGGCCCCAAGTCGGCCCAGAGAGGCCCCCCAAACGGCTTCTGACGGCGTCAGACGGGCCAGGAGCCCACCGAAACGGCCGAAGATGGCCCTAAGATGGCCCAAGACGGCCCAAGAGGCCTCCAAGAGGACCTCCAGGAAGGCCCGAAAAGGCCAAAATCATTGATTTCCCATGAGTTTTTGGAGGATTGTGGCATTTGCTTTTTTGTTGGCCTTCCAACGGCCCGAGACGGCCCAAGTGCCCCCAAAGATCGCCCAAGAGGCACAAGACGGCCCCAAGAGGCCCCTAAGACGGCCCAAGAGACCTCCAAGACGCTCAACATGGCCTCCAAGACGGCCCAAGAGCCCTCCAAGACGTCCCCGAAGAAGGCCCGAAAGGGTCGAAATGGCCTCCAGACGACCAAGATGACCTTCAAGATGCCCACGTGTTCCCCGAAGGCTTTCCAAACCGATTCGGGGAACATGGTCCGATAGCTTGGCAGGTCTAACCTCAACGTTCGGCCACATGGGCGCTTCAAAAAAGTCAGGGGGCGGCGGTGATTCGCCGTAGGCGTCGTCGAGACATACAATTACACCTTCATAGATACATATGTACATACATGCATGTAGACACGCATACATACATACTTACATACCTACGTAAATGCATGCATACGTGCAGACCTACAGACATACATACACACATACACACATGCATACATACATACATAAATACATGCATACACATATACATACATTCAGGCATACATACATACATACATTCATTCATACGCATGTACATACATACACGCATACACACACATATGTACATATATGTATACACGTACATACACACCTGCATGCATGCATGCATGCATGCATGCATACATATATACAAGCATGCATACATACATGCGTATATATGTACATATACATATACACATACAAAGACATAAACATACACATATACATATACAAATACATATACAAATACAAATACATATACATATATGTGTACGTATATATGTACAGCTTCATGTACAAATACGAATATGTACGTATGCATGGATTGCCTGGTAACCATACGTACATATGCAAGAAAATACATGCATACCTGCATACATACATACATACATACAGACAGACAGACAGACAAACAGACAGAGGTGCATACACACACGCATGCATACATACATATATAGGTTGCCGTGTGGTGCAGTATCGTGTAGTATACTAGCATGTCTCATTATATACTACAATGTATCATGTGCTGGCATGCCACATGATACTATATTATGTAGTGTAGCGCATAGTCTGGTATCGCATTATATGAAGGGGCACTACATTATTATGTGTTATAGTACGATATGCAATATAATAACGCACTAATTAATCTCCTCGTATATAACAGCGGTGTGTATCACATTCGATTGTACCGTGTTATATCGTAGTAGTATGTGTAATACTAGACTGCGCTGTATCAGATTATGTTATGATATATTGTAATACGTCACGTCATAATAGGTGCTATACAAATATAGGTGCTATATCAAGTTAAATAATGTTGAACGATCGTACAGTAGGTCATATTATACAAGCGCAGTGGTGGTTATAGGATATAAGATGGTAGTGTATCACAATTACGAATAATGACGTTAAGCATGTTGCTAGTCCCATGTGTATATATGCACGCATATAGATGTGTAGACTGTATGCTTGAACCGTCGCGCGACTCGCGCACGCTCATGTTCTAGCAGGTCCCAGGCCTCGACAAGTTCACTGCTCCACTGAAGTAGTGGAATACAAATGGTTTGAACGGAAAGTGAAGAAGTGTTCATAACGCTGAACGCATTATGGGCAGTGAGAAGTCCACGCATGTCAATCCGTATTCTGAAAGGCTTACGGGGAAGATGGTTGCGTAGGGGGGCGGAGGCCTGATGAATCGGGTTCCCAGAGGGCCTTCTGGGAATGTGGCTCTTTGGGGCGTCTTGGGGAGCCTGTTGGGGGTGCCGTCGTCATCGTCGTCATGTCGCCTCTTGGGGCGCGCCGTCGTCGTCGTCGTCGTCGTCGTCGTCGTCGTCGTCGTCGTCGTCGTCGTCGTCGTCGTCGTCGTCGTCGTCGTCGTCGTCGTCGTCGTCGTCGTCGTCGTCGTCGTCGTCGTCGTCGTCGTCGTCGTCGTCGTCGTCGTCGTCGTCGTCGTCGTCGTCGTCGTCGTCGTCGTCGTCGTCGTCGTCGTCGTCGTCGTCGTCGTCGTCGTCGTCGTCGTCGTCGTCGTCGTCGTCGTCGTCGTCGTCGTCGTCGTCGTCGTCGTCGTCGTCGTCGTCGTCGTCGTCGTCGTCGTCGTCGTCGTCGTCGTCGTCGTCGTCGTCGTCGTCGTCGTCGTCGTCGTCGTCGTCGTCGTCGTCGTCGTCGTCGTCGTCGTCGTCGTTTCGTCGTCTTCGTCGTCGTATTCGTCGGATGGACCCCTCCCAAAATCCATCCAGCGTTTCTGGACCCCCTCCGGAGGACCGGCCGAAGCCGATCACTAAGTCACAGACTCGGGCCCCAGCGTACGGAGAAGCCGGAACACGTGCCGGGTGCTACCATACGGTTCAAAATGGCACTTGGGGCAACTTTGTGCGAAACGATCCGCAGAGGGCCGCGAGAAGGCGATCAGTCATGT